TTGATGGGTGAAGGAGGTGTCCTTTATGTTCAGTGTTACTGTTCTTCACATCCTATGACTGTCTCTTACTGGGAATGGGAGAGATAAAAGAACAGACATGACTCCTCGTGATTAAGGGGTTTTGAAAAAAATGTTTCTTTGTGGGAAACAGTTTATTGCCTTCGCTATCTGATAAGCGTAGACAGAGAACCCCCCGAAGGCTGGGTGCCTTTGAAGCCCTAGCAAAGGTCGGAGCTAGGTGCCACCTCTGTTTGTCCAGACAGTGGTAGCTGAAACTACTCCCCCATTTATTATGTAAATCCTTGCTGATGGGCTAGTCTGTCTGTTGCCAGGGGTCACCTGCCTAAGGGCTATGCTATGGGTGCATCCCAGATGAATAAAAGCTTGGTGAGGCCTGAGCACTGGAGGAAGTCCTTCCCCTTGAGTTGGACTTGCCCGCCTGGTCCCCCAATATTTCAAATTATCTCTTGTCTTTTCATTTTCATTTGTGTGCGGCTCTGCTTCCAGGTCCTGAACCCTGACCCACGCGGGACGTGGGAAGGAAACACCCAACATTTCTTTTGACCTGGAAGCCTCAGCATAACATTACTAGGTTTGGTGACTGTGTAGACTCAGCCAGGTCATGTCCCTCAGTCTCTTGGGGTGGCCCATACACATTTTAATTGCGCATTCCTGGAGGGCTGCTGCTGTTGGCTGGAGAAGTCTGCTGAGAAAGATCCCAACAAGATTCCTGCTGTAACTTCTAAAGTTCATACCCAATTTTCTATGCTGCCTCTTTAGTCACAATTACACTAGAATTGATTAACAAAAAAATAACTACCCTTTTATACATTTGTAGACTAAAAAGTATGTTTCTAAATAACTCATAATTCCAACAAATAAATCATTGAATTTTTTTAAATTCCTACAATTGAAACTAGTACATATCAAAATGTCGGTGGTAAATATTTCAAAGGAAATGTGTAGCTTTAAATAAACATAGTATAAGGAAAGAAGGAAGGATACAAAGATTCTAGGAAATGTTAAAGCAATGTGTAGTAACAGATCTGTGGTCACCTGGCAATCAGAATGGAGTGGGGAAGGGCAAGAGAGAGCGATTCCAAAGGGTCACATAGAAAATTTGGAAGATAATAAACTGTTCGTTATCTTGATTGTGATGATGGTTTCACAGGTGTATACATTATCAAAACTTGTCAGTGTGTAGTGTTGAAATAGCTTATTTTATATCGATTATACTTCAATATAACTGTTCTTAAAATGTGCCCATGGAGGAACCCTCCTGCGTTGCTGGTGGGACTGAAAATTGGTGCAGCCACTATGGAAAACAGTATGGAGGGGCCTCAAAAATTTAAAAATAAAACTACCTTATGACCCAGCAATTCCACTTCCGGGTTTTTATCTGAAGAAATCCAAAACACTAACTTGAAAAGATATATGCACCCTATGTTCATTGCAGCATTATTTACAATAGCCAAGATATGGAAGCAACCTAAGTGCCCCACCCCCATAGACGATTGAATATAGAAGAGATGGTACAACCCTGGCCAGTGAGTCTCTGTTGGTTGGAATGTTGTCCTGTATAGCAAAAGTTTTTGGGTTTGATTCCAGGTCAGGGCACATACCTAGGTTGCAGGTTCAATCCCACATCAGGGCACCTAAGGAAGGCAACCAATTGATGTTCTCTCTCACATTAATGTTTCTCTCTCACTCTCTCCCTTCCCTTCTCTCCAAAATCAATAAGCACATCCTCAGGTGAGGATTTTTTTTAAAGGAAGATGTGATACAGATATACAATGGAATATTAACCAGCCATAAAAAAATAATAAAATCTTACCAATTGTGACAACATGGATGGACCTAGAGGGTATTGTACTAAGTGAAATGTCAGACAAAGAAAACCAAATACCATATGATTTCACTTATTTGTGGAATCTAAAGAACAAAATAAATGAACAAACAGACTCATAGATACAAATAACAAACTGATAGTTGCCAGATGGGAAGCGGGTTGAGGAGCTGGGTGGAAAAGATAAAGGACTTAAGAGCCCTGGCCAGTGTGCTCAGGGTTAGAGCATCGGCCCAGGTATCGGAAGGTCTCGGGTTCAATTCCCAGTCAAGGGCATATATCTTCATTGCAGGTTCAATTCCCAGCCCCAGTTGGGTGTGCAGAGGCAACCAATCAATGTGTCTTTCTCACATCAGTCTCTCTCTCTTTCTCTCTCTCTCTCTCTCTCTCTCTTTTTCTCTCTCTCTCCCCCTTGCCTCCTTCCACTCTCTCTTTAAAAAATCAATGGAAAAAAATATCCTAAGGATTAACAACAACAACAACAAAAGGTAAAGGGATTAAGAAATACAAATTGGTCCCAGCCGGTGTGGCTCAGAGGTTGAGTATCGACCTATGAATCAAGAGGTCACCAGTTTGATTCCCAGTCAGGGCCCATGCCTGGGTTGCAGGCTTGATCCCCCGTAGGGGGCCTACAGGAAGCAGCCAGTCAATGATTCTCTCTCATCATTGATGTTTCTATCTCTCTCTCCCTCTCCCTTCCTCTCTGAAAATCAATAAAAAGATATATATTTTTTTTAAGTACAAATTGGTAGTTAAAAAATAGTCACAGGGATGTAAAGTACAGCATAGGGAATATAGCCAATACTATTGTAATAGCTATGTAGTGCCAGGTGGGTACTAGAATTATCAGGTGATCACTTCAAAAATTATATAAATGTCTAACCACTATGCTATATCCCTGAAACTAGTATAAAATAATATTGAATGTTAATTGTAATGAAAAATAAAATAAAATATGCCCGTGATGAAAAAAACTTAAATATTATATAACAATGTAAAATGAAAAGTTAAAGTCCTTCTACATACCCCACCTACAACTACTAATGTCTTTGAAGTCTTCCGCAAGGGCCTTCACAAGCATATCCATCTCTCTTTCCTCCAAATAGATAACTGTACTGAATTTTGCATTTATTATTCTCTTACTTTTTGTTTCGGTTTTACTGCATATGCATGAATTTTAAACAATATATTGTTTAAATATGTATACTTTAGAATGCACACATGTTATGTAATATCATACTTCATATATTTTGCAGCTTGTTTTTAATCATTCAATATTATGCTCTTGAGGGTGAAAAAGATGAAGGGATTAAACAAACAAAACAAAACAAAAAACTCATAGACACAGACAACAGTATGGTGATTACCAGAGGGAAAGGGGTAGGGAGAGGTAGAAGAGGAGGATATAGGGGGGATAAATGGTGATGGAAGGAGACTTGACTTGGGGTGGTGAACACACAATACACAGATGATGTATTATAGAATTGTACACCTGAAACCTATATAATTTTATTAACCAATGTCACCCAAATAAATTCAATAACAAAGAAAAAATATATTATGCTCTTGAATTTAACCATGTTGATGGGTAAAGTTAATAAAGCTTTTTGTTGCATAGTATTCCATTACATAATTCTGCTCTAATATACTGTACGTGTGGTTATTGAACATTTGACATGGCTATTGTGGAAAAGAAAAAATAATGTTGCTATTGTGAAGGGGGAACTTAATTTTTAATTTTAGTCCATTTAAATTTTAATAGCCACATGGGACCAGCAGTGCAGTGCTAGAATATACCCAGGAGGAGAATTCACTGGGTCTTATGATATATACATCTTCTATTTTACGAGACCAGGATAAATTGTTTTCCAAATGTTTTACTCCCACCCACAGTGCATAGGAGTTCCTGTGGCCCTACAGCCTCACCAACACTTCTATTATCAATGAAATGAGTGTGAATCAGAACTATCTGGGGAGCTTTTATTTATTTTTTAAATATTTTTATTGATTTTTAGAGAGTAAAGGAAGGGAGAGGGAAAGAGAGATAGAAACATCAATGAGAAAGGAACATCACCAATTGGCTGCCTCCTGCACGGTCCATACTAAGGATTGAGCCTGCAACCGAGGTATATGCCCTTGGCTGGAATAGAACCTGAACGTTTTAGTCCACAGGCCAACGCTCTATCCACTGAGCCAAACTGGCTAGGGCTTTTAAACACACACACACACACACACACACACACACACACATACACTTCTATAAGTGTGGAAAGGTGTGAGTGCAGGTATTTTCAAAAAGCTCATCAAATGATTTTTTATTTCCACACATTCCCTGGTGGCCTCAGGGATGTAGGCTTTTGGAAACTTTAGATAAGGAAGGATAAGCAGGACAGTTCTGTTTTAGGAGAATGGCAAAATGAAGGATTAGACTGGAAGGGGATGGACTAAATATCTAGAAGACATCTGATCCATAAGCTATTCTAATAGTGCGAACAAGGCATAATTCAGACCCACACTATGGTGCTAACTGTGGAGACAGAGATCTGTCAGTCAGGTTTATATAACAAGGAAGGAACTTAACTTCTCAATCAAGCTACTTATCTCAATATTGACAATAATCACTAATGTCCACAATTGGACAAAGGATGCATTTCTAGAGCTTTGTTACTATGCAACAGAGTTTCATTAACTTCACTTTACCCATCAACACAATAATTACATGTTCTTGCCTTCCGAAACTAACAGGTCCCTGCATAACTGTCCCTCTCTCAGGGTTCCATGCACGTTCTCTGAGGCACAGTAACTTCCAGAAGGACCTCATGAGGCCTTTATCAATGGCCTCACCTGCCCCATCTCTCAAGTCACCCATTTTCCTTAAAAAGTACTTGGAATTCAGATGTAAAACCACTCATTAGACAAGGTTGCTAAACCTTGGCCTAACTTCTTCCCTTCCTGGAGCTCAGAAGACATACCTGAACTGGGGCAAAGCAGGACACTCTATCGTGACCTCTCTGGCCACAGCCTCTCACCAGGGAGTGGTCACCTGTCATGAGCAGTATTCAAAACCAGGAACCAAGGTGTGGTCTGAGCTCCTTTAAGCTCAAGGGTTTGGGGGCTCCTGGTGAGTCCCCACAGAAGAGTTCAGAAGAGGAGGATGGAAGGGGGGTGGTCCGGTAGGGGGGGACTCCTCCTTTGCCTCACTGCCAGCCTTCTGCTTCAAGGTAAGATGGGCAAGAATAGGGAAAGATGGGAATATTTTCTGGGAAAAATCCAGAACCTCTCTCATTCTCCAGAACTAGTAGAGTGCATCTAAAATAATTGAGTTAAACATTTCCTTTCTTTGTAGTATGTATGTTTTGGTTTCCTTTGGGGATAGATGAAAAACGCATTTCACTAATCAGTAAACACAGCCCCTCTCTCATTTGCCTGTATAGGTAGCTATCAAACTGTCTGTCCTACCATTTTATCACTTGTCCAATTCCACCCCTTTATAATGTCCAACTTCTCCTTTCTACCAAGATATAGAAGGTATGAACAGGGTAGGTTGGTCCCATTAACATGGGAAGATCTTGTGGAAAAGGTATATGGAGGGAAGAGGAGAGCATTTGCTTCCCCCTTTCTCCTTAGTTTGGATATATGCCTTATGAGTTAACTGGTCTGGCAAGATAGTGGAAGGTCTTGGGAAAGGACTTGCTGGGCTATGGTACAGGAATATCCATGGAACCATCTGGGATTGGGGTGCAGGTGAGGTGGGCAGAAGGGCTTTTACAGTTTATTGTATAGCTTCACCAACCACATGGTGAATGATCAAAGAGATCTTCTCAAGATGCTGATGATGAAAATGGCACCCACAGATTTTAGAGGAAGTCACTGAATTTGAGCAGGGCACAGAGCACAGCACACAGCGGGCAGTCAATAAATTCACATTGAATAAAACGTCCTTAAGTCTCCACATATTTCACATCACGCTCATGTTTATGTCTCTCCAAACTTTTCCTTTCAAGGAAGTGGGAAAACATGAAAGTGGGAAAGGAAAATTGAGAAGATGGTAGGGAAATTGTGGTCAGTGACTATGAGGAAGAATCCTAAGAGAGCTAGAGAGGAAAGAGTATGGCCAAACAAGAGCCAAAACTTTAAGTGCATCTAAAGGTTGCAACTATGGAAGGAATAAGACTCCCCGGAGAGGCTGTTTGCATACACATTTGGGTAGACTTTATACAGGAGCAAAAGCTCAGGAAGAGAGGTCTGAGGTCTGAGCCCTGAAAGGTCAGCTCACCACATCAGCTTCCGCCATTTGCCTACCAAACCAGCCTACCCTCCCAGCCCCGGCAGGAAGAGCTTGGCCTTCGAGAAAGAGGGGCTCAGATGCCTCACCCCATGTCTACATGTTTATCTCTGCAGAGAGGCTCTCAGACCCCAGCCCGGGCAGTCCTCTCACTTAGGAAACACAAAAGCCCTATCCCCATCTCACAAGGTCTCTGCTCTCTGCAGGAAGGGTGAACACTTTCACCATCAACTGCTCAGGTTTTGATCAGCATGGGGTGGACCCTCTTGCCTTCCAAACTGTATTTAAACAGAAGAACTTCCGTCCAGTCATCAATTATAGCATCCCTACTCAGGTCAACATCTCCTTCACTCTGTCTGCCATCCTGGAAGTGGTAAGTGCTGACTACATTTTTTTCCATAGGCTGCTAATAGGGAACAAAGGGTCTTTACCCTGTTAACCCAACGTTGCACTGGTCCAGTGGTGAGCAATGAGTCCCCTGAATGGATGTTGTACAAATTAGGTGTTCATCCTATGGGGTGGAGAGACACGAAGGGGAATGCTGCAGTGACCTTTCTGCAGGGAACACTTGTCCTTGAGCCCTGGCCTTTGGGGATAGTCTATAAAAAACATATTCCCAGTGAGTCCCCATGCTGTTTTTCCCCCTATACTTTTCATTCAACCTACATTTTTCTGACCTACCTTTCATTTGGAACTTGTGAATGAGAAGCTGAACTGTCACATAGGACTACTTAGGAAACAAAAGGAGGAGGTAGACGAGGACCTGATTTTGTGGCATTAATCATCCTAAATGGTTTTTTGTTTGTCTGTTTGTTTGTTCAGGATGCACAACTTCAGCTGCTGACATCATTTCTGTGGTTAGATTTGGTATGTAACTTCTGCTTTCTTCTCTTTTTCTCCTTCCCTTTTTTTTCCTGGCTTTGTTGCAAAAATCACATTTGTTGCAATTGACAGTGCCCGAAGGCATAGACACATCCAATCAGAATGGGGCCAATGCTGATGACAAATAGTTTTCTGGGCTGCCAATCAAAGACAGATGGAAAATACAAGAAGAAGGACAATACAGTTGGAAGCCACCCATGGAAGTTTCAGGGCCCAAATGTATCTAACACCCAGCTTAAGATTTCCCTGAGTGGAAAGTGACATCCAGTAAGACTGTTAATTAGAGAAGAGGAGGCATTATCATGAGGATAAGAAGACTAATCAGAGTTCAAAATGAGCTCAGAAAAGCAGCATGCATAACAACGTGCATAGTATGATTCTATCTGTATAAATAAAAGTGAACGCTGGAATATGTATTAATTTTTTTCTAAAATGATACACAAGAAACTGTTAATAATGGAACTGAGTTGGGGATATGGACTGAGTGGGAGTGTTGAGGAGGGAGAAGATTTCTTTTTATATTATAACTTTCTGGAATGGTTGAAGCTTTATCATATATCCTGAGTACATACATTTCAAAGATATACATACATATGTATATATTTTTAAGGGAATGGAAGGGCAGGAAATGCTGGCATAACTAGCTCCAGGTTCCAGCCATACCATCCCTCTGTGTCTTGTGCTCTAGACCTGGAATAACCCATTCATCAGCTGGGACCCAGAAGAATGTGGTCATATCAATAAACTCACTGTGACAGCTGAGAACCTGTGGCTCCCAGACATCTTCATTGTGGAATCGTGGGTATCAGGGCTGGGAAACTGGAGGGAAAAACCCTTCTGCAAGGAGAAGACCAGGGTAGTGCAGGGCAAACCCGTTCTGTGGGGCCACTAAAAATGGATTTCAGCAAGGAGCACAACCACAGCTTGTTAACTTCTCCCCTAGAAATTGGAAAGTGGTGGGCACAAAAGATGGCAGAGTGGCCATAATGAGCAACGTTGGGAAGCCTTACCTTAAGAGAGAAACTTACACTGGTGTGAAACCCAGAGCATTTGCCTCCCTCCCCTCCTGCCACCTAGCATGGATGTGGATCATACCATGGAAGGCCTCTCGGCGTATGTGACTAGTGATGGTCACATTGTATATAGCAAACCAATGCGGGTGACCAGCATCTGTAGACTGGACATCTTCTACTTCCCCTTTGACCAGCAGAACTGCACGTTCACCTTTAGCTCTTTCCTCTACACAGGTGAGTGGCAGTAGAGGTTCTGGTTTGAGGTAAAATGAGATCAACCAGTGGGGCAACAAAAAAGTACACATAAGCAAAGTCATTTTAATGCATAAAAAGGGACAGTTGAGTATTTGCTAACTGGGGAGGGTGTGGGTGGTGGGGTGGGGAACTTAGGCTGGGACAAGACTTCCTGAGAAAGCCCATAATCAAAAACAGGCAACTGAGCAGCAAGGAAGTGATGTTATAGGGCAGTCTGAAAGAGGGAGCTAGAACAGTTTTCTAATGCATCTCTCTGAGCCCTGCCCAAGTCGGGACTGAAAGTATGTTGAATGAATGTTTGTCTCCCTTGCAGTGGAAAACATGTTGCTGGGCATGGAAAAGGAAGTCTGGGAGATAGCGGATACCTCGCGTGACATTGTCAGCACACAAGGGCAGTGGGAGCTCCTGGGCATCAACAAGGCCAAACCAAATATGTCTGTGGGCTCTAGTCTCTTTGACCAGATCATGTTCTATGTAAGCCCAGAGATTCAGGAAGGGATATCCATCCCCTGGACCTCCATCATGGGATCTCTTGCTTCTTGCCCCAAGACCAGAAAAGCCCTGAGCACCATAACCTTCATTCTTCTTCTCTCCTGAGTCCCCCAAAGCAGTCCCTTTTTCTGAACCTGTCAGCTCTGGCCTTGGTTTACTTTGGTGGGCATGGGGGAGTCTTGTTAGTCACATGTAAGCTGCTCCTCGTCATTCAGCCCCAGAAGCAGCCCTTGTTTCAGGAGGATACCAATAAAGGAAGGGGCTGGAGCCATCCTTAGGTCTCTTAGCTTCACCTGGCTCTCTGCTCTCTCCTCCCCACCAGGTGGCCATCAGGCGCAGACCCAGACGCTATATCATAAACCTTCTGGTGCCCAGTAGCTTTCTGATGGTCATTGATACCCTCAGCTTCTTCCTGCCTGCAGAAAGCGAGAACCGTGCCCCATTCAAGATAACCCTTCTGCTGGGCTACAACGTCTTCCTGCTCATGATGAATAAACTACTCCCTGTCAGTGGCACCCCCCTCATCAGTATGCATCCCCTCTCCCAACTACTGGGTAATGAGAAGAAGAAAAAAGGAGACAGGGTAGGCAGGTGACCTGGCTAGACCTGCTGAGCAGATAAGGCAAAAAGGAGAAAGAAAGCATCTTAGAAAAGGCTCTCTGTGTGAGACAGAAGAGGGAGGGAGAGGTCCTTCTGGACCTGCCTCACTCTGGCGTGCTCTCACCCTCACCCTAGGTGTCTACTTTGCCCTGTGCCTGTCACTGATGGTGGTCAGCTTGCTAGAGACCATCTTTATCACCTACCTGCTGCACCTGGCCAACACCCAGCCCCCATCCATGCCTGGGTGGCTCCACTCTCTGCTCCTCTACTGCACCAGCCCAAAGATATTCTGCCCCACTGCACTCTGGAAGGAGAATGTGGGTCCAAGACTCACCCCAACCCACCTGCCTGGTAAGAGAACTCACACTGCCCACACTCTCTCAACTTTCGCAACCTCTCACTTCTCTAATCATATGTCCATCCCACTTCATGGCTGAGTCTCTGTCCTCTCCACAGGCCTGACAGAGCCCAGGGGGTTGGTAGGGAAGAATCTGGAGCCCAGAGAAGCAGAGCTAAATGGGGACTCAGGAATGACAAAGACACAGCTAACTGACCTGTGGGTACAGTTCAGCCACATGATGGACACCTTCCTCTATCGCCTCTACCTGCTCTTCTTGGCCTCCACAATCATCACAGTCATCGTCCTCTGGAATTCCTAGGCGCTGATATCTAATGTACCAGAGAACCCTCAGCCTCAATGACCACCTCAGACCCTGCTCTTCGGCACACACAGTCCCTGCTCCAGCCCTCCCTGGGCTTAAATACTAGTAGAATCACTGCTGCTCTCTCAGAAACAAGAAATACCACTCCCAGCCCTAGCCAGTTTGACTCAGCAGATAGAGCGTCAGCCTGGTGACTGAAGGGTCCCAGGTTTGATTCCGGTCAAAGGCACATGCCCCAAGTTGGGGACTCAATCCCTAGTGGGGAGCATGCAGGAGGCAGCCAATCGGTGATTCTCTCTCATCATTGATGTTTCTATCTCTCTCTCCCTCTACCTTCCTCTCTGAAATCAACAAAAATATACTTTTTAAAAAAGTAATATCACCCCCCAAAAGAATGGGGATTGGTGCAGATACTTTAGAAAACAGTTTGGCAGCTCCTCAAGTGTTAAACATAGAGTTACTATATGACCTAGCAATGCCATTCCTACATATAAATTCAAGAGAAATAAAAACATATGCTCATACAAAAAATTGTACTCAAATGTTCATAGCAGCATTATTCATAATAGCTATAAAAAAAGTAGAAACAAAGCAAATATCTATTAACTGATAAATAGAAATAAAATGTTATCTATCCATGTAATGGGATATTTTTCGGCCATTAAAAGAAATAAAGCATTGATACATGCTACAACATGGGTGAACCTTGAAAACATGAAAAAAAAAGAAAATCTAGTCACAAAAACTACATATTATATAATCCCACTTATACCAAATGTTCAGAATATGCTAATTTTAGGTACAAAAAGTAGATTATCATAATGCTCTCCAGTAAAGAAAAAAAGGAGACATATGTACTACTACTTGTAATACTTTATTAAACAATAGTAAATAAATAAAAGATTAGTGGCGGGTTCAGGGTGGAGGGAAAGGCAAACCAGAGGGTTCTGCGGCCGCTTCTAGTAGTTTCTAGGACTGCCGGGCGCTCAGCCAGGCAGAACTGAGGTGGTTGCTGGGGCTGCTCGGAACCTGGTGGCGTCGTGATTGGAAAGCGGATGGCCACGTGGGGTGATCATGGAGGAGCGGGCAGAGGGCACCAATGTCAACAACTGGCACCGGGCAGAGCGGGATGCTTCAAATTGGTCCACAGATTAGATGAAAACACTGTTCCTGGCAGTGCAGGTGCAAAATGAGGAAGGCAAGTGTGAGGTGACAGAAGTGAACAAACTTGATGGAGAGGCGTCCATTAGCAATCACAAAGGCAAACGTATCTTCTTTTAAGAGTGGAGTATCACACTAACTGGACAGGTACCTCTAAGTCATGCAGCACAGGGACATGTGGAGATCCCCACTTTGTCTGATGAAAACAGCGTGGACCAGATCAGTGAATTCCCCGGTGACATTGCCATCTTCCAGGTGAGACTTCCCACCTTTGTCTGCTTCTGGCGTCGCAGGAGGTTCCAATCTTGGCCAGAAGGGCACTTCGCCACCATCACCTTGACCTTCAGTGATAAGAATGGAGAGACTGAACTGTGCGTGGAAGGCCGAGGCATCCCTGCTCCTGAGGAGGGGAGGACACGGCAGGGCTGGTAGCGCTACGACTTCGGGCATCAAAGAGACCTTGGGCTCTGGCGCACGCTTATTTTAGAGCCAGCAGCGGGAGCCTCAGCCTGCCCGGCGCTTGGGTCCAGCCCTCTCCTGACTGAGGCTTGACTCACAAGATTGCACCATCCCACCCACTAACTTAGGGAAATGTCAATGAATAAGACAGATAGGAGGGGACTAGTTTTCTAAAGTCACAAACTAAATAAGATGATTTCATATACTTTAATTGTTCTGAAGACAATAAAAGAGGGTAATAGAACAGAAAATGACACATAGATGAACAGCATGTTCCAGAAAAACCTCTCTGAGAAAGTGACATTTGTGTCAGCCCAGAAATGAATGACAAAAAGTAAAATAAAAATGAGTGAGACAAGGATGAGATATGCCATACTGGGAGGTTGGGATGAAGCATAACAGGCGCTAAACTTCTGGAAGCGATCTGGGTGGCCAGGTCTTTGGATGAGTGAGGTGAGAAACTGGAGGGAGAGTCCACGTTGGTTCCTTTGTTCCTATGGTTTAATGTTTATGAATTGTGAGGGTAAGCTTTTATAATCCACTCAAAGCATTTAGAACAGTACCTTTCAAACAGAATCTATTTTACTAATCCATGCATACTGCCTCACTCAAAAAAGAACTGGTGATAATATAGAATTGATAAGGAAAAAAAGAAAAGTTGCAACAAACATTGCTAGAATTACATATAGATTCACTTACTAGATACTATGTAAGAGAATATGAGTTTATAGGTGTTTTTTAAATTATAAAGCAAAAGCTCTAACTGGTTTGGCTCAGTGGATAGAGCATCAGCCTGTGGACTCAAGGGTCCTGGGATTGAATCCAATCAAGGGCATGTACCTTGGTTTCGGGCACACACCTAGTAGGGAGTGTGCAGGAGGCAGCTGATCAATGTTTCTCTCTCATCGATGTTTCTAACTCTCTATCCCTCACCCTTCTTCTCTGTAAAAAAATCAATAAAATGTTTTTTTTAATTATAAAACAATGCCCCAAAACTTTAAATAAGTAATATTTTTATTACAAGTTACTTAACTAGCTTATACTCTCAATGTAATGTCACTGTACAAGCAGGTTTTGAGAGAATTTGTACACAACTTTAATAATAAGAAATAGAGACCTAAGCACAAAGCGAAACTACTTTGATGAAAGTATAGATCAGAACACCCTAAAGAAGGAATCAAACAATCCATGTGACATTGAATAGATGATGGATAATGGAACATAGCTAACAGTTTATTACTAAAAAGCATGAAGAGCACCTCAGGTCAATGCTGTTAATGCACTAATAACGAAAGCCCTGGAAACTGAAAGAATTCCAACAGCCCCCGTGTCTCCTGCAGGAAAGAGTTTGCAACTTTCCCAGAGGCTGCAGGATCTCAGTAGAATGCCAAATTTGAATCTTGAGGACACTTTGATAATGAGCAAATTTTAGTTTACCAATGCCTCATTTTAGCAATCCTGAATTAGCCTGTTCTTAGTAATAAGTAAAGCTGAAGAAAAGTCCTGGAGAAAGGGCTTGGATTTGTCAGCCCTTCAGGGGGCCTTTACTGCCCTCTAGTGGGAGCCCTACTCAGGCTTCTCAGTGACCCTAGGATTTATGCAAACCAGCAGACTATGCATAGTGTACCTACCTTATCCATATATTCCTGACTAAAATTTGGACACATTGTCAGATTTTTTTCTAATTTGTAAAATTATTTCTATGAAATCCTATCTAATAAAGATGGAATATGCAAATTGACCATCACACTGTCACAAAGATGGCAGCACCCATAGCCACAAGATGGTGATGCCCAGTCCCCTCAGCCCCACCGGAGTCCGCCAGTCCTTTCAGCCCCACCAGGGGGCGGGGGTACAGCAGGTGCATGGTGCAGCTGGCCCAGCCCTCAGCCTCCCAACCCCCCAGGGCCGGCCCGAGGCGCAGGCAAGCCTCAGATGTCAGCTGGCCAGCCGCCCAGGCCTGGCCCGAGGTGCAGGCAAGCCTTGGATGTCAGCTAGCCAGCCGCCCAGAGCTGGCCCAAGGCACAGGCAAGCCTCGGGTAGTGGCTGCCCAGCCACCCAGGACCACCCAAGGCTCAGGTAACCAGGGCCAGCCAAGGCTTGCGCTGCCGACAGTGGTAGCAGCAGAGGTGTGATGGGGGTGTCGCCTTCCCCTGATGGCCAGGTCGCTTCCTGCCCCTGAGGGCTCCTGGACTGTGAGCAGGCCAGGCTGAGGGATGCCCCCTCCAGTGCATGAATTTTCATGCGCCGGGCCTCTAGTAGCCTTATAAAAATCCTATATAATAAAAGCCTAATATGCTAAGTGTCTGGTCCTCCAGCGGTCCATTCAACCAATCAAAGCATAATATGGCAATGATATACTAAGGCCACTCAACCACTCACTATGATGTGCACTGACCACCAGGGGGCAGATGCTCCGACCGGCAGATTAGCTTGCTGCTGGCGTCTGGCTGATCCAGACTAAGCGAAAAGGGCCAGACATGGCCTGGAGCCCTCCTGTGGTCCCTCCCCGACTGGCCAACCTCCTGCATCCCTCCCCGGCCCCGATCGTGCACCAGTGCCAGTGGGGTCCCTCAGCCTGGCCTGCACCCTCTCACAATCTGGGACCCCTCAGGGGATGTTGAGAGCCGGTTTCGGCCCGATCCCACAGGCCAAGCCGAGGGACCACACTGGTGCACGAATTCGTGCACCGGGCCTCTAGTCTATAAATAAAATTACATTCATAGACTTAGTGACATGTCTTTATTAAAAAGCTAAATTACATGAAAAAAAATATGAAAGTAAAATAAAATAAAATTTAAAAATGATTAAAAAAAGAAATATGAAAATTGCAAAAAAAAGAAAGAACATGTATCAACTAACATGCACCTGTAAATTCCATCATTGACCTACATTGAAGTTAATGAATTGATGAGCTGTTATTCCATTTGTCCTTGTGGAACAAGAACCCTGCTTGTTTGAGAATTAATGGGCCTGCAGTAAAATAAATATGCGGTGGCTTTTACAGTTATAATAAAGGTTGTTAGTTTAGGCTTTTCCTTGGTTTGGACATAGAAAAGTTATTTTGATAATAAATAGCCATCATTTACTGAGTACTTTTGATATGCAAAGTCCCTTACATTTGTTAGCTCATCTGATCCTCCCAACAATTCTATACGGTGGATATTAACATTATTCCAAGTTTACAGATGCCAAAGTAGATTTATCAGAGTGATCATTTAATAAATTATATAAATGCCTAATCACTATGTTGTACAACTGCAAAATGATCAAATGAGAGTCTAACGCAGGAGAACTTTCTCCACCTGAGGAACAAATTGCACATAGTGTGGAGGTGCGACCACCCAGATGCAAAAGGCTCCAGACACAGAGCTTTC